AAAATTTTTAACTTACATATAATTTAATGAAAAAAAAAAAAAAAAAAAAAATAAAATTCCTAAATTTCCGTATCAAAACAAAATTTATATAATAATAATAAGAATGTTGTATTTCACTTCATAATATTTCATACTTATTTCATCTTTTTTACAATCACATTATTATATCAAGAACATTCTGATATAAGTTTCGTTATATGTTCATTTATTATAATTATAGGTTTGTTTAATAAATAAATTTTGTATATAATAAAGAAATTTTATAATAATAATTATTTTATTTTTTTTTTTTTTTCTTTTTTCAAATATATGTAAATTATAAAAATAATACTAAAAAATAAATAATTTTATAATGATCATCAGCATTCTATAATATAGAATAAATTATCATTAAATACAAAAATATAAATTAAAAATAAACAAATTTTTAAATGTATCCATGAAAAAAAAAAAAATTTAGAATACATTCATCTATATAAATACATTATTATATATAATTTTTTAAATTATTTACATATGAAATTCAATATTAATTGAGAAAAAAAAAAAAAAAAAAAAAAAAAAAAAAGGATATTTTTTATTTTTTTTTACTAATATTTTCATAAAATTAGTGCATTTGTAAACTTATTTTCCTTATGAAAAAAAAAAAAAAAAAAAAAATTAATAGAAAATAAAATTTTAATATAAAATATTTTAATAAAAGAATATATAACATCTAATAATTCTTTTTTATGATCATGCATCAATTTTAATGTAATATATATAATTTTTCTACTTAGAAAAAAAAAAAAAAAAATAAAATAATACTATTTATTTAAAAATAAAATTATATATATGAAAAATGTATATGATAATGTGCACAACGTAAATTTTTATACATTTAAATAAAGTTAAAAGTATAAATAATAAAAAAAAAAAATACATAAATTTATATAGTTAAATAATTATCATTTTAGAATTCTTCTATAACTTTTTACGAAAAAAAAAAAAAAGAAAAAAAAGAAAAAAGAGAATATATAAATAAAATTTACCAAAAATTATATATGTATATATATATAATATCCATCTGTATTTTTAAGCATGTAAAAAAGGTTAGAACAAACTATAATAATTTAATACTCTTACAAGAACAAAAATTTTAATTCTTATATATATATTTTTTTTATTTATTTATTTAACTTACTTTTTAAGTTGTTACCTAAATTTAATTATTCAAAACTTTTAATCCAACTTTTTTTTTTTTTTAATTTGTTTTTTCTAATCATAAACATCTATACAAAAAAATTGAAATAAGAATCCTTTTTTTTTTTTTTTTTCTTTTTTTTTATTTCTTCTGTTGGCAAGATAAATAAAAATAAAAATAAAAAAAGACTACACGAAATAAAAATACAAAAAAAAAAAAAAAAAGGGAATATAAAAAATTATATATATCTGTATATTAATTTTTTCTACACCTCCTAATTATGTATTTTTTATCAAAAATTAAAAAGTGATACAATGAAAAAATTAAAAAAAAAAGTAATATAAAATGGTATTCTTCTCTATTTACTCATTATCATATTTAGAAAATAACTTTTTATTAAAAATACTATAAAATAATAAAAATATTTACATTAAGAAAATAACAATTTTTAATTTTATTATGATTTTTTAACTATAAATTTTTAATTTTTAAAAAAATATCAATTTTTTTTATTATATTATAATATCGATCTAAAATATATATATATATATATATATATATATATATATATATATATATATATATATATATATATATTTTTAAATTGATACATGTATATATATATATATATTTTTTTTATTATTTTTACTAAATCGAACAATAATTTTTCTACATATTTTGTAATGCTCAATTTTGAACAAAACAATCTTTTAACTTAATCTTTTTATTTTCTTCAATAATTATTTTAATATTAATTATTTTTATAATTATATATTTATATAAACATTAATATGTATTTTTTCTTTTTTTTTTTTAGAATGGATAAAGCAACAAAAAGAATATAATCTATATATTTAGTAAATTAATATTTATAAAAAATAATGTAAATGCATATATATATGTATTATTCCCTTTTTATATTATATTTATATGTTTATTTTTATTATATTTATATATATATAAATTCTATTAAATGAAAATTTGTAATAACATTTTTTTACTTAATGTACATTTTAACATGTATTTTTTTTTTAAATACTTCAAATTTTTTTTTTTTTTTTTTTTCTATCATTCATATATATTTATAGATATATGAAATATTATATTTAAATTGTAAATCTATTAAAGTGATTATAATATTTTTTTATCCTTTTATAGAAAATATACAGTGTAGATATTATAATATTCTTAAAAAACACCGTTTATTCTATAATATCTCTTAAAAAAAAAAAAATTAAAAAAATATGGCCTAATTAATATACATAACCTTTTTGTTTCAATTCAAGAAAAAAGGAAAATTTATTAAAAACTAAAGGGATATTTTTTTATAAAATTAATTTATC